TTAAGATATCAAACCTTTAACTTTAGTACCTCTAATAACTATAGGTTAATTGGTGTATACGTATGCCATCTGTCTAAGATCTGTCAACTTCTCATGAGATATCACATGACTTTGAAAGATATTGGCACAGCATACAGCGTAATTACACTGAGCAGTTCAGCTATGGAGCCTCGAGCACACTGCCCTTGGGTTTAACATATTGTCAGTTTTAAAGCCTGGCCTCAAACCAGAATGGGCACAGTGGACACTAGAGACAGAGCACAGTGCCAAAACACATCATGCCCCTAACATTTATCTAAAATGTGCCGGTAGTGGTGGAGATTAGTGTCGGGGTTATGAAATATTAACCTTTACTTGTGGCACCACCACTGGGACATTTAGCGTCGTTTTGGAGCACGGTGCAAAAATGGATCATCTTGCCAGTTCCTGGCTGAGGGGTCTAGTACTGCACACACAATGCTCACTGCATTATTTTATTTTTGTACATTCTGTAGGTGTGGTAACTTATGTTTCACCTTATGAGAACGTATGTTTTCACCTCCTAATGCCAGCCTCTTAATGAAGAACATATGTGCATAATCGTGTTAGTGTGTCAGCACAGAACATCATTTATGTTCTTGTCTGAAACTTATACTGATTTCAGTGTTTTACTGCTGTGACAACTTCAAAATGTCGAGCTACTATATTGAAAATATTCACTAATCATCAGGCAACAAGAGCCACCAATTGCTGTATGTGCTGTCACATTGTTTGACATTTACTGAACACTTACTGAGGCTGTATTTCTGTTTAAACCATTTCGTCCCTTCATCCCACCTTGTTTTCCTTGTATCTGCTGAGGTCGGCTATGCAGTACTCTTTAAACAGCTTGTCATAATACTTCTTGGCAAGTTCTTTTTCCCTGGAACAGAATGAGTCCAGAAGTAGAAGTCAACAGAAACTCATCTGAAACAAATTTTTGTCACCAGACACAAGCTGCTATTTCAGCACAGTTACAAATCAAACATTTCCAGAATAGAACAGAAAAAATAATCAAAAGCATACTGAATATTAAAGCAGCCTGCATGAATAGTTGACTATGGATGATCACCATGTCATGTCATCCTCATCCTCGTCCCTCCAGAGGAAGCGGTGATTCTCGCGCAGCACATCCAGATCAGTTTTGTCTTTGGTTCTGAGGGAAGGAAAGATGAATTGAGAAGGCTTACAATCAGAAACACAGACACAAATAAGGAGAACATTACCATTAATCTAATTTATAATGAAAGGTATTATTGGATGAAAACAATACATAACCAATGATTAACATATTCTCATTAGCTTTAACCTAGAGGGACAGCAGATGACTGATTGTCAAGCTTGACTATGAGACACAGTACTTACGGAGAGCGTTTGAAGTCGGCCATCTGTCCTCCATAATAAAGTATGTAGTCACCGACAAACTTCTTATGTCGCTCAAACTGGAGACATCTGCTTAAGGTCAGTCTCTCTCTGAATGTTTTGTGAACTGCAAAAACAGCTAACATTTTCCCACGTTATGGGATTGTTATATGACATTTTTTGAACATTTTGACGTGTATAGATCTATCAGTGCTATCTGTTTTATGATATGACGCTGAAATCGGTGGGAAAAAAAACTGAGGTAGGTAACTTAAAAAAGGATACAGCATTCATTGATATCAGATGTGCTCTTCTGTTCCTGGCTTCCTCCCTGAAAAATCAGAAAACAGAATGGGCACACTAAGATAAACAAAGTATACAGTGTCACAAAAAAACAATGTGCGACACTGTATACATACATTTATTTTCATTTTCCTTTTGGTGTCAGTTAAGCCCCCCCCCAATTTTCAGAAAGTGAGAACAAAGGTGAGTGACAGGAAACTATTATAACACAAAGGACTCATTTGGTTTTATTAGAAGCACAAATTAATAAAAACATACATCTTCTCTAGATGGTAATGTAAAGACAATGAAAGAATGAATCTAATTTTGGCAGTAATGATGAGTTTTCAAACATGAACATTTAAATTGGATTTCTCTCATTTTAATTGCCTCGTACATCATAAGCACAGAAACTGCAAATACAATTTCAGGTTGATTGAATCATTTCATTTTACTATTGGCATTTCATATGTATTATCAGAACTGACATTAATTGCAATATGAGCAGGTGAAATGCATTTGACTGAAAAGGAATAGCAATTATTTTGCGATGAGCTATTAAAATACGTGACAGAAGTGAGCAGCAAGCTTTGCCAGGATTATAGATGAAACAAAATGTAAAACTAAGTGGCTCATATATTTCACTGCAATTGTACAGTACCTGTCCAGCTCATTAGAGTGTAAACTGCGGTGAGCCACCTGCGAGTGCCGACCTTTCTTGAATGGCTTCTGTAAGATTTCCTCCTCACGTTTCCTGGCAAAGTTACAAATACATACAGAGAGCTTGTGTTTAGTGGATGAAGCTGTCTACCGAAACAAGTCTAACTGTAAAGTAAAGATGGTAGAGTTAATATTTACGTTTAGTCAGAATGTACAGAATGTATTCTATATATTCTATATTTGTATGACCTTTATGACTTCCTACACAGTTAAATCCATTTTAGCATTTGGTGAGGCACAGACACACGACCACATGAGGTTAGATGAGCAAAATTTGAACATATATATATAAATATAAATATATTATTGAGCCTATGTAAATCTAGTCTTTACTTTTACCTTTTAAGGCCCCTCTCGGAGGACTCTCCCTCCCCATCATCATCACTGAAGTCGGAGTCATAGCCACCACTCCCGTGCACCTGAGGAAACACACAACCTCATTCATGATGCACTGACACACACAAACACACCTGCATGCAGAATAAGACATATTTAAAAAGCTGTGTCCAAGTAAACAGAGTAATTCAAATCCACGTGAAGAAACCTGTGAGTTACACAGTACTGTTCAGTATTTCTCTACATGCACACATGAACAGGTTATGATTGGCCATACAGTAAAATAATCAAACCTGCTACCTTTAATGGCAATAAAGTATGCTCGTATGCAAAATATGTGTGCTGTATAAGACTACATATACCAGGAATTGGTTTTAAATGATCAGTGTCCTTTCACACAGTTGCAAGAACAATATATAGGAATGATATGACATTCGTGCAATTATTTTCGCCTGTATACAATATCTATGTTCAAGTCAAGTATGTTTGCATTATAAATAAATACTAAATGGATACACATGCAGTAAATATGACACTATGTATCGATGCCTAATGAAACCGACTCCCAATCACTCATCTGCTGTATGTGTGCGCCATCTACGCTACACACAGACCTGAAGCTAGAAAAAAGAAAGCACCAACCCTGTGTTATCTGCTTTTTACATATCTGTAAGGTGCCATTTTATGTTTCCACTTATCCTTAAAGCGAAACTTTAACCAACAAAGCCGTCGGGAATGAGGAGAGCCTCGTCAGCAGACCCCTGTGGGCGACTGGCTCACTTATTTCATGCTAACGTTTCATGCTAACTGGCGAATAACAACATGAAACGCTAAATATTCTTCCAAACGTGTCTGCGCAAAAAATGAGTTTACCTTCACAAGATTATCCATGGCTTTCCCTCGCTTCGCTGCCCACCTAATGTTTACAAAACGACAAGGACGTCGCGGGATGATGACGCAGGAGAGCGCGAATCGCGGTGTGATGACGTTTGGTGTGGCTTCATTAATTACTCTGAGAAAAGATGATAGAGATATTAATGGAGGCACTGTTAAAAACCTTACCTACTGTGCAATACCATACAATGTACAATATTTCATAACATAATGTGCTATATATTTATATATATATATATATATATATGTATATATATATTTAACAACTGTAT